ACCTGAGCAGCTCACTGTATTTTCCCTCCACATTTTATAAATATGATCAGAAAGTGGAAAAAATATATGGTACTAGTGATAAGCACAGATTTAAGAAGGAAATCATTCTACATGCTGAAAGCAGCAGGTCTTTAACCTTGGCTTGGCATTCTATCGACTTTAGCTGGTTAACTATGGTGAAAACGAAACAGAACTCTGTAATGAGTAATTGACACTTGGCGCTTGGGCCTTAAAGGCAAGGAATACCGGGGGCTTTTATAATATTCTTTAAATTCTTGAAATGAAAGCTCCCTTATAATCTGTATGACTACTGCTCAATATTCACAGATTAGGCTTTTACATCACTTTTAGTGATGTACTATATTTACCAATAAGAAACTGCCTACATTTCTCAAAAGCCTAATTGAGAATGGGAAGTTCCTTGGTTTTGTTATGGAATTATAACAACTCCCGTGGTAACACGGATCATATCAGCTAAGTCAACGTTCTGATGGCCAATTTCCCATTTTGATTCATAAAATCTGTAGCATTTATCATTAATTAACTTTATGTAGTAGGCGAAGTTATTCAAAGCATGAGTTCCACGGGGTCGGAGGGAAGGGGGGGAGGGCAGCGGCAAGGTGTCAGGGGAGGAGAGATTACAAAAGGAGTTTGTGTGTAAAGAAATAATCAGAAAAGATTGGAAACCAAATGGGCATAGCGCAGCAACAAATCTAGCTGGCCAACTTTGTAAACAGAGCCGCCGCTATTAACATGAGCTACAGAGATGGGTCAGGGCTGACTGGTGCAATTATGTCTCTGCAGGAATTTGACCTCTTTGAGATAAAAGGTCTGGGTTCAGTCTTCACGGAGGCCTGTGCCCGTGATGCCCCAGTGAATGAAGTAGGTTTGCTCCAAACACACTGATTAGGAAGCAGACCCCTGTCTGGGTAGTCTGTACCCCAAGTGATGTTTCCTATACAGTTAGACATCACCTTGCTACTGACTTTCCCCCCTCCTTTGATTAGAGGTGGTGGTGGAGAGTATAGAAAGGAGCAGCATTGATTTCAGATGCCTCTGTTTGGATCAATAATGTGTTCTTCCACAGAGTGATGCTCTCCTGACAGGCAGGACCACTTTCACCTGATTCAGGGAAGAGGCCCATCTGCTTGTTTCTCTCTCTGACCTTTAGTGGGTTAATGCTGCCTGTCTTTTCTTTTAATAAATTGCAACCCAGCTCTTCTATTAACAGAATCCATTACGCATGACTTAGCACTGCAGCAAAACGACAAAGACCAGTTAACTGGCACAGCTCTTGCAGGTTTGTATGAAAATTTTAGCATAAAAGAGAGATTCTCCAGTTTCCTGAGAGGCACTTTTCTCTTGATACTGCCTCTCAACCCCCGCTTCTATTTAGACTTCATTTTAATGGCATCCTTAAAAGGGACTTGCATGTCTTCTCCTTTAAAACAGTGTAAATAAAATGATTTATTTTGGTAACAGATGAAACAGTAGTACTTTAAGTGTTTGCCATCAGCTTTACAATGTTACTGACAAAATTGAAGAATCACAGGGAGTCACAGTCCACACGGGATTTAGGTTTCAAAGGTGGTGTGTAAAATGTACCAACTGTGCAAGTTACCAGTGCAAATTCCTTATACACTATGGGATCATCTTATATAATAATAAGCCCGGAACAGCCATGGTGGTAGTAAAGATCACCTTGATCACCAAGTAGCGCAGGTATTTTGTATTTTGTGTTTAGGTGCCCTGGTGTTAGAAAAACAAGAGCGTCTTTAACTCCTGGGATCACTCCAGGCTGTGAGACCTTCACCCATGAGAGTCATAAAGAGGGTGAAATGAAGGCCTGAGGGACCAGTAGCTCGGGCTTCTGGTAAAGGATGACTGACTGGGAAGGTGGCCACCATTGCTCACAGTATAACCGTTGATTTTATTTTGCATTTTGCTGAATATTGTACCGTTGACTTTACATATTGCAAAAACAATGAACCATGGACTATCAGAATTTAAAAACAAATGTGATTTTTTTTTTTCCTGGAGCCCAACCCAGCAAATTTTAAGAAGCTACAAACAAGTGAACAATCAGAGCAAATGTTTGGTAATTCAGAGATTTGGGAATCCTAGGGAGATTGATTTCTTTACCCACTACTCCCTGCTAGTATTTTTTAAAATGTTTTTGTTGATTTTTTTTTTTTTTGAGAGAGAGAGAGGGAGAGAGAGGAAGGGAGAGAGATATAAAGAAATATCAATGAGAGAGAAATATCAGCTGCTTCCTGCATGCCCCCTCTTGAGGGTCAAGCCCGAAAATGGGGCATGTGCCCTGACTAGGAATCAAACCTGTCACCTCTTAGTTCATGGATTTATGCTCCACCATTGAGAAACACTGACTGGGCCCTGCTAGACTCTTGTTAGAACTACAGACGTAGCAATTTTACTGAGATTCCCTAGATCCAGTGATATTTAGCTCTTCCCTCTGGTTGCATGCAGTTTGCCTGCATTTATGAAATGACTCAGCATCTAATTCCATGTATAGAGGTCCAAGAAACATAACAATGAGTGGTAGTATTACTCACTTATCTTTCTCAGGACCCCAGGCGGTGGGACCCTACATGCGAAGGCCTGGGAACTGTCATAATGCAATCACATTGAGTCACGGAGAGAGATTACTCTGGGCAGGAGACTTTGGATAGGAGGCTGAGAAATCTTTAAAAAGATACCAACCCAGGAAAAATGACTAAAGGTGGTCTCTCCTCATTTGGAGGCAAATGTTGTGGAAGAAGGTATTTTCTTAGTTATTCTCTATCTTCACCTTGTCACCTCCACTGGAATATGAGTTCCTGAAGTGCACAGGTGTTGCCTGTTTTTATTCAGGTATTATATTTCCACCTAGCTTACCTCACTCATACTAACCAATTATACATGCTTGCTGCACATTTTCAAAGTATGTTGAAGGGTATGGGTTATGAGCAGAGAAGGAAAGGTAATCTCATACACAGTAATTTAAGTTACCACTGCCTTCCTGCCACATTGTATGTGTGCTACTCAGAACCTCCCTCCAATCAGCATCTCCCTGCTTTCTTAGCTACCGCCCCACCTCATCTCTGATAGCTGATAGTCTAGGGCCATAGTCTGTTAACTGTGGCTCGAGAGCCACATGTGGCTCTTTGGCCCCTTAAGTGTGTGTGGCTCTTCCACAAAACACCATAGCCTGGGCAAGTCTATTTTGAAGAAGTGGCATTAGAAGAAGTTTAAGTTTAAAAAATTAGGCTATCAAAAGAAATTACAATCGTTTTACTGTTGATATTTGGCTCTGTTGACTAATGAGTTTGCTGACCACTGGTCTAGGGTAGGGCTAAACTCTGGGGTCCATTGACTTCATCACAGTACAATGAAGTTTTATTGCAATGAAAATGTATTCAAAAGCACTGAATTACAGAATGTCATAGTTATAGAGGTTTTCTGTTTTAATAAAAAAAATTCTTTAAATACCCCTGTATGCAACTGGAGGTTAAAATTGTAATTCCAGATTTAAAATGGATATGTATGCATAATTTCACAAAATAAGCCCTTTAAACATTGGTTCTCATGGTGAGATGGTGGCTCACAACCATCTTAATCTCTTAGTCAATCTATCTACCTGAGAGACTCTTGTAGCTGTGGGGTTTTAGCAAGCAGGTCCCATATTTCTGGCTTCCAAATCACAGCATACCTTCTAATCTTTATTCAACTATAACCTTGGCCTCAGATCAAGATGTGCTCCTATGTTGTCACTGTTGTGGTCCTTCTCTCAGCATCAGATCCTCTAATTTACTGTTTTTGGGTGGTTGAGTACCCAATGGTGACATTTACTCACTGTGACTCCTTCTAATTGATTTGGATTTTGTTATTGACCCTCAGCCTCTTCATTCGAGCTTTGCTTCTTATATGCCTCATCTGGCTGAGAAGTTGACACCATGCACTGAAGATGCATTCTTGTCCTACCCTTGCTCACTGATCTTCTAGCTATGCATCTTTGATATCTTGTCAATCACTTGGATTCTGGAAGATGGTCATTTGAATCTGTTCCATCTAATGCTGACGTTATGGCATTTAGGGGGAAAAGATACAATGGGAAAGGTTCAACTGGTTACCATCCACCAAATTTGGATTAGCTCTGGTTATAAAATTCTCAAGGTGAGTTTATAATGATTATCAGCGACATTAGCACTTTCCATTGTTTGGCTTCTTTTGTACAACATCCTTTAAGATTTATTCATGTGGTTGCAGGTAGTTGTAGACTCTATATTCTCATGGCTGTCTACTATTTCACAGTGTATATACCACATGCATTTTTGTTTGAGTGTCTACATAATAGAATTGCTAGATTATAGGGTATCCCTATGTTCATTTTTTAGGAGATAATGCCAGTTTTCCAAAGTGACTGTACCAAATGCATCATCTACCAGCAAGGTATGAGAATGTAATTGTGCTACACCCTCACTAGCACTTGCATTTTCTGTCTCTTGCTCTAGCCCTTTGGTGGGTGTCATTTCATTATCTTTTATTTTGATCCAGATATCTGGAGTACATGATGGAAATTCCTTGGAGGTACTTTAAACTGGTATCTCTTCATGATCTGGGCAGTTAGCTTTTACAGTGTCTTTTAAGTAGCATTGAGTCTCTCCCCACCTACTTCTCTCCTTTTAAGAGACAAGGAAATAAATCAGGAATAAAGTTACTTGAGCCACTTTATAGTTACTTTATTTCAGCCTTAAAATTAACATAAAGACACAATAACCTGGTGCTCCTTATTTAAATTAACTCTAAAATAGTAAATAGTCTTATTCTAAACCCTACTTTAACTTGGAGACTTTAAAAGATCTCATTGTACCAACAAATTGTCCTATAACTTCTATAATGGCCATTGATGAAAAGCAGTAATAGCTGACCTCAAAGCTACCTCTTTGTGTGTTTTGGTGTCTTGAAACCCACTTTGACCCCACTGGGGGATGAACAGCGATCCCTGCCTCTATGTGTGAAATCATGGACATCAGTAAGAGAAGCATAGGCTGTACATTCACTGTCTCCATGGGTCTCTCAGAACTGGGAAAACATGATCAAGCCGCATGTAAAAATTAGAGAAAAATAAAAATGAGTATGTGATCAATCGTTAAATAGATACCCTAATTATAATTGCTAGAGTCATTGATAATATTTTATTATGCTGTATTATGCATTTTTGTTTGTCTCCAAACTAGACATAAGGCCCATGAAGACAGAGACCACTTCCATCTCCTTGATGACTGTATTCTCAGTGCTAGTATAGGGCCTGATAGTGTAGTGCTCAAAAACATTAATTTATGAGATCAAATGACAGGAAGGTAAAATATGAGTTAGAATATGTAGCTAGGGAATAATGTTAAGATTTAAGTAGGCACAAAAGAGAAGGAGGGTTTTCTGGATGAGAGCATGTACCTTTACATTTGTATTTCCTTTTGTTGCTATAATCCTTTGTGTGTTTTTAATTCACATAATTATCTCAATTAATTCCCCCAGAAGACCATATAAGTTTATGGGACTCAATGAAATTAATCAAGAATTCAAAAGATCTAACCTTGTTTACAAACAAAATCATTAACTCTAGAGACTGCAAATAGAACATTAAAAACAAAGAGGTAAGTGGAGGGATGAACCCTCCAGGGGAGCTTCTGTCTGGAATTGGGACAAGGATGGGGAGGATCAGAGAGGCAGAGGAGTTCAGCACCCGTGGTTTATTGGGAATTACAAATGCTTGGCATCAGGTGGGAATGTGAGGCTGGGCTCCCTGCTTGAACCCAGGAAAGAACGTGAGTCTTCTCAGCTTGTCAAAGGAGAAACAAAGAAGTGTATTGTCTATTGTTTGGAACTACAGTTATGGCCTAAGACAGTGGACGGCAAACTTCGGCTCACGAACCACAAGTGGCTCTGGAGCCTTGGTTTGCTGCTCTGTTGGCTAATGAGATTGCCGACCACTGACCTAGACTTTAGATTCCAATAATTACAGGCTGTTGTTGTTCCTTGTGATTAAGCCCCTACCCAGTGGTCAGCAAACTCATTAGTCAACAGAGTGGCAAACCACAGCTCACAAGCCACATGTGGTTGGACTGGGAGTTCTAAGTGGGGTGGAGTAGAAGTACAACCACAATTTTTAGATAAGGAGGAGAGAAAAGAATGGTCTGGAAGGAGGTAGAGAAAAAGAGGAAGGTCTCAAAAGAAGTAAATATACATTAAGTGTTCAAAGTATAAGGACACTTAATACTAGGTAAATGTAAAGAGGAATAAAATGAACCATAAAGAGCGAGAGAGAGAGTAAGAGAGAGAGAGAAAAAAAAAACTATAGTTCATTCTCATAACTGAACATAAAAAATTTAAATAGAATGGGTACAAATTGTATTACCAATGTATTTTCAAAGACTACTAGGAATATAATGACAGTTCAACACAGAAAATCGATGAGTATATTCTATCACACAAATAGATTAAAGGAATGAAACTGGACTATTATTTCAATAGATGCAGAATACTTGATACATTTCAACACACAATCTCAATTTTTAAAAAGATCTGTTAGCACCTATTGTATCTGCAAGGTGGCAATACATGTAAATGTACTGCACATCCCTTCCCGTTCCCATGTCCAATGATGTCATGTTGGTTATTGGAAACTGGCCATGATAGGAGTATTTACACCAAACAAATCAATAAATACTACAAATCAAGGCCTGAGTTCATGTTTTATTGGTTGTTTTGAATTTAACAGAGGATATAGAAAATAGTAATGATGCATATTAAGAAAAAGGAGTGTTGTGTCTGTAGCTGTTATACTCGGACTAGCATAGACACTCAAGAAAGTATTCCATGGAATTAAACACCGTTACCCAACTTCACAAAGACAAATTACAGATGAGCAAGTGGATGTGTAACGTGTATCGTGGCTGTTTCACTTTGTCCTACTCATTAAGATAAATAAAAATATCCACCACATCTACGTGTAAGCTACACTTACTCATCCACTGCAGCTGTATGGTGGCTACAGATACAGGAGTTCAGCAAAACTCAAGGAAAGCATTTTGTGAGAATCAGTTGGCCAAATGAATTCTTATTAATTACATATCTTATTATAATTATTATTTTATTACTTGTAAATTGTATGCCACACAGCCATTAATCAATACACTTTATAAGTATATTATGTATGTAATTATTTCTCCAGAAGAAGCCTGGAAGGGCCACATTGAAATTACATAGGAAATGACACTGTTGGAGACAGAAAATAGTAGTCTGGTAATTTATTAATCCTGGAGAATTGGGCATTGCTAGGGAGAAGAGGTAAATGAGGAAAAAGGCAACACAAACTAGGAATTTTTTTAATAGAGAGCAGTGGCCGGAGAGAGGCAAGGTTTTTGTGCCGTTACCAGGAGGGATATGGGTAAAGAAATCTTTGTATATTTTGCTGTGAAATGTACTTTAGTAAAAATTTACATTGTTTTCATCTGTTTAGATGTTTGTGCTTCTTTCGAATAAATACCTAAACTTAGATGGTCCATGAAGCCGTTGAATTATGTTTAGATTACACAACATAATTTGATAATGAAATTATGTGGAGTAAATCTGGGTTCACTGTAAACAAATTAGGCCAAACTCACCTTAGGATAGGGTAGTCTCACCAATATGCCTTGAGAATAACAGCAAAAGCACCAATAATACAACTGTTACTACGATTAAATATTGTTTTTATATGATTGCTAACCATTCTGTATTCGTTTTATGTTTAATGAACTTAATAACAACACCCTTATGAGGCAGACAGACATAATATATCTTCATTTTACACATCAGAAAGCAGATCTGGGAAGTGGAGTAACTTGCTCAGAAGCACATAGCTAGCAAAGTCTAGTATGATCAGAAGCCAGTCACTCAATTTCCGAAGGTGGCCCGGTTAGCGTGTTAACAGTGCTAAAGCTACAAAATCACCAAGCAGTAGCAATCCGGAAATGTTTTTCATTTCTAAGAATTGATTTCACTGATATCACAGACATTACTCTAAAGATAGCTCTCTGTCAGGCGGTTGGAAAGCTGCCTGTATCTGATTTCGTGGTCTAATTCCATAAAAGCATTTATTGAGCATCTGGTTGTGCAACAGAATGTCGCAGACATTCCAGGAGAGACGAGATGAATAAAACATGAGTCCACAGCAAAGGAGCTTAAAATACAGATACTCACTGGTTTTATCACTCTTGTAAATGAAGTCAAGAGACAAATCAAATATGTCATAAAACTGGGGCAGGATTTAAAATAATTCAAATTCAAAAAAAGCTCCTAACAGTTTTCACCAAGATTTTGTAACTAAGAAGCATCACAGGGTCGAACACAAAGGTTTGTGTTACATTCAAAACCAAGTGCATAAATACACAACTGGAAAAAAAATCTGCTTTTATGGCAGCCTTTATATAACACATCTTGAGGTTTTAGGGTTAACCTCAGGACTAAAGCGCTACTAAAATCTTTGAGGTGCTCACAGGTCATAGTGATAGAAATAACAGGACCGGAATGAGACGAGAGCTTTTGATTCTGGGCGCTGTGATAGTCAGCCATCGTGGCAGTAGTCTCTGAGGTTCAGGCTGTGACATTAAAAGGGACATTGAAGACAGCGACGGGGACAAATGAAAAAAAACAGCTTAACCAAATCATAGGAAGAATGTACGAGGGAACGGGGATGTTTAGCCTGGACAAGGAAGACTCAGAGAGTACAGGGAATCAGGTTCCAGAGGATTTGGAGGATTGTTAAATCAACCTCGAAGCTGCCTCAGAAGGCAAACCAGCCAGTCCTCGTGAAGGTTATCTCAGGTTAGCAGGACGTTTGCAGGTTGAGCTTAAACAAACAGACTTGGCTTCCCTGGGCTCCAGGAAGAGCTCTCAGGGTGGGTGTTGTGAGGAGGATGGCGTGGGGTGGACTGTAGACCTGCCCCGGGTGGAAAGCATCTTCCAACATTCAATCCTATGACCTCCAAAGGCACAAACAATTCCCGAAAACTTTAAAACATATGCACACAGGAAGAAGGCCATAGTTTCCCCAGTATGCAAACACTATGCAATGAACATGAGCAGTAATTATCTTTCTATTTCTGTTAGAGGCAAGTGACATGAAAGGAGAAGAAATAAGTGGCCTGGGTGCACAGAAAGCCAGGAACTACGGGCCTGAGTGCCGGATTCCACTCCAGGGAGAGCAGGGGGCTGAGTTGATATAAAGAAGTAAACAGAGAAGAAATACAAGGTTGATGCTGAGTGCAACTTTAATCCTCACCTGAGGATATTTTCCTATTGATTTTTACAGAGAGTGGGAGGAAGGGGGAGAGAGAAACATCAGTATGAAAGTGACACATGGATTGGTTGCCTCCTGCGCGGACCCTGACCAGGGCTGGGGATCGAGCCTGCAACCGAGGTACGTGCCCTTGACTGGAATCAAACCCAAGACCCTTCAGTCCTAGGGCTGATGCTCTATCCACTGAGCCTAGGGCTGGATGCAACTTTAAGTCCTTCAGCACAGTGCCCAGCAGTCATAAAATATAAGCAAATACAGAGGCAATCCTTTTCTGAGCTGATGCCTAGAAACAGGACAAACGATTGTGGCTTAGGTAAATGCTGTGTGGGAGCCCTGCCTCTGGAATGTGGGCCACTGGCCTCGCTGCAAGGCATTGGGCCTTGAGGAAGAGGAGGGAAATGCAGCTGGAATGAGTGCAAGAATTCTGGGGCAGTGATCTCCAGGTAACTTACAGAAACCAACTTGATGTCATTGGCAAGCGGACATGGAGAGGTGGAGTGTTTAGAGAGCATCCCACCAGGGCCAGAGGCAGCCGCGGGGCCAGTGGAAGCAGCTGTGGTGGTGAGCCTGGACAAGGCTCCACCTTGCTGACTGCACGGGGAAGAGGAAGGGACTGAGGCCCAATCCAAGCAGAACTCAGTGGAGAGTCAAGAAAGCTTCCAGGGATCAGACCTTGCCCGGCTGACGACGCTGCGCAATTTATTAACAATTGTTTCTCCCCCCACGCCGCCCTCCCCCCCTCCCCACAACCAACCAGCTTCCACTAGTCTCAGGCATCCTTCCTGACTTATTTCATTGACATTTCCTTCTTTTTCTGGAGTGGTCCGAGCCCCAGGGAAATCTCTCTCTCCTCCCTCCTCCCTCCCCTCCCCCACCAGCGGGGCATTGAATGAGAGCCAGAGTGTTGTCTGCGTAAAGAGAAATTGCAAAACCACAAATTGCAGAAAATCGTTACTGCCAAAACTCGAAAGGAACACACAATATCACCAGGCCTCTTAAAAAGCAATTGCGCATTTTACGGGCCTCTGGATAATTCAGGTCCGCTTGGCAACTTTCTCACCCATACCACCCAGAAGACGATCCTCCTCCACCAGAGGCCATGGCCCCAAAGTCTATGTGTGGTTGAAAAGAAACAAAAAAAATGTGGGTTTGAATCTTCACAGGGGCCCAATGTGGCCCAGTGCGGTTCTGTTTCCTTCTGTGATGCAGTGTTAATGTTAGGGCCCAAAGTTTGCCTTCAGTGTCCCAGGGGCTCTCACTAAAACAGCGGGAGCCTCTAGTAGTCTGATCAAAAATCCCTAAAAGATACAAAACACTGTTGGATGGGATAGCATTGCCGTTATCTTGATAATTCTTTCCGATGTGCATTGCATTGAGGCTGCTCCATAAACCAGTATTCTTTCTAGAATGAATCTGTTATGTCTCTTCACTCTTGGCATTCCCAGTGTCCGTACCCAAATTCCAAATTCCCTCGATTCTAAAGACCCAATAAAATTACACCGGGTTTGAGCAGGGAGTTTTAAGTATTTTAGAGGTTGACCTAAGTGATTGGGAATAATTGGAAATGCGTATGAGAATGTTTCTTGCCTCTTTTTAATAAAAATAAAGTTTATGTTCTCTGATGCTTTGATGGAATCAGGAAGAGTGTTTTCCTTTCCCCTCCTCCCACCCGTAATAAAAATTCTCAGAAACTAAGGGGTTAGTAACATTCCTTCAAAGCATCCAGTTTCTCAGGGGCTGATGGGGGCTCAGACAGGAGCTCTCTGATTTTTGGTCCTGAGTTGCCTTCTGTCACCTGCCTTCTTTCTCTTTGGAGGTATATCTACATCTATTCCTTCCTGACTGGACTGAGACTAACCTCCATCAGTGGCCTGGGGATGTTATGGGGCCATACTCTTTTCCAGGGCCTTTGCTTTGAAAGCTTCCTGCCATTCACCTAGATCAGGGCTCCTCCGAAGCGGGTGCTGATGAGGTTGTTTCCATTTGCATTGGTTGTATAATGCAATCATCATTAGGAACAATGTCAGCCCCAGAAGGGGCTGATTCAGTCCGGTTGCCAAAACGAACCCAAGTCACAATTGCCTGGTGATTTTATGTGTTCCCATGACTGCACAGGTCAGGCCATGTTTCTACCAGTTGCGCAGAGATGAGGAGAAAGAGGCATGTAGACCCATTTGGATAGTATAAACTCCTAGCTCACATGTTCTTCCTCAAATATTTACTAGTATAATAGGTCACCAACCACTTTGTATTTCCTGGAGAAAAATAATGTGAAAATAAACCAATCATAAATTCACCCCTCTAAGGTGAAATGGCTGGCCTTCAAGTCCTGGACAATAAAGGTGCTTTCGACTGAAATTGTGACAAAGAGATCTTGAGGTAATTGTCATAAATGTGTTTCTGGTTGTGTGTTTGCATAGAATGATTTAAAATGCTTCTTTCAATTGCCATCCATGATCTAATGTTTGCCATGAACACACAGCAACTATTCTTTAGTATTTAAAATTAAATCCTTCAAAAGCAGTAGTAAACCTACATAAGCAGAAACTGTGTGATGAAAGAGCTAGGAAATAAACAAAGTAAACACAGACATGTTCTCCTGAACAGTTTTCACATTCAAGAGAGAAAATAAGGTCAAAGGTTAACACTTGTACAAATAGCATACTCGTGATAGCGCTACTCATAAAAGTCTGACATGAGCCCATCCATGTAAGCTGCTTAAAATATTCATAACATGCAGGTGTCTTGACAATGCAATACAGACCAAAGCAATATCATGCAGAGACCGACTTTCTACCATATCCCCGGGAATGCATACTACTTTGATGTCATATTTGAGTGGTTTAAGGGTGAATGTTTCTTGTGCTGATGATTGAATATCTGTGTGTAGCACTGGGATCAATTTATTCTACGGAGAACATAAACTTTATTTTTATTAAAAAGAGGCAAGAAACATTCTCATACGCATTTCCAATTATTCCCAATCACTTAGGTCAACCTCTAAAATACTTAAAACTCCCTGCTCAAACCCGGTGTAATTTTATTGGGTCTTTAGAATCGAGGGAATTTGGAATTTGGGTACGGACACTGGGAATGCCAAGAGTGAAGAGACATAACAGATTCATTCTAGAAAGAATACTGGTTTATGGAGCAGCCTCAATGCAATGCACATCGGAAAGAATTATCAAGATAACGGCAATGCTATTCAACCTGAAACAGCCTGTGACTGTGAGGAGCAGCTGGGCAGAGAGTAATAAATTCGTCAGCCATAGGAGAGAACCTGAATATTCAAATGTTTGCTGTCCCAGGGTCACAATGTCTAAAAGAATATTGTCTAATTTTTCCTCTGCACTTTATTTAAAAAAATATTTTAAAATTATTTTTATTGAATTCAGAGAGGGAGAGGGAGAGAGAGAAACACCAACAATGAGAAAAAAATCATTGATCGGCTGCTTCCTGCACACCCCCTACTAGGGATTGAGCCCACAGCTCAGGCATGTACCCTTGTCGGAAATCGAACCTGCAACCCTTCAGTCCATAGGCCAATACTCTATCCACTGAGCCAAACCGGCTAGGGCTCCTCTGCACTTTTCACTAGCTTCTTAGATGCAATATAGTTGCAGCCCTGATCAAGTGCAATCTGCTTCTCAAACGGTTTATAAAATGCTCCGCAGTGCTATACAAATCAAGAGCAGGGGAAGGTTAGTTCCAATCGTGGCCGTGTTTGTGAAGCCGGACTTTAAAAGCAGAACGATGTGAAAGGGAGCCTTAATGATTAGGAGGTTTTCAGGATGACTGTGGAGAAGTAGACATTGCAAGGAGGAAATGTACTTACATTTTGCTGCAGGTGAAGTGTCTGTCTTTGAAGGGTAGCCTCTGAAACAAAGAGAGAGAGAAAAGTTCATTACAAAACTGTACAGTAACCAATTCAAAATGAAAAAGACAGTGAATTGCCCTTGAAGGCCCAGCCACTTACTGGGAAAAATGAGAAATCTAGAGATGAAAACATATTTATTGGAAAACTTCTTGGAGATACAAGAAGCTTTAGCCCAGAGAGAAAACATGGGAGTAACGGTAGTATCTTATTTCAGCTCCCTGCCTTGCACATCCTAGAGTTTCAAGATTACTGGAGGCTGACGTTGTCTCCCAGGTGTGATCCTGGTGAGAGAAAACCTGAGAGCCTAGGGCCTCATTCAATGGCTTAGAGCAGCGGTCGCCAACCTTTTGGACCTCACGGACCACCTGTTGCCGACTGCTGGCAAGAGTCATCCTACTCTTGCTTCTGGTTCACACGGACATTGAACATGTTCTTATAGGCCCAGTTCTGAGACATTGTTCAACTAAATGAACTCCTCCTAAAGGTTATGATTTTCTCAATTCATGCTCATTGGGAGAGTGGACAAGTTTCTTTTCCAAGAAACAGAGAGTGTTTCTGGGGAGCAGTGTTTCCAGAAGGCCGTGAAAAGAGAGAAACAATTAGACTGTCTGTGCTTGAGAGGCACTTGACAATTGTGTAGGCCAGTGGTTGGCAAGATGATTAGTCAACAGAGCTGAATATCAACAGTACAATGACTGAAATTTCTTTTGAGAGTCAAATTTTTTAAACTTAAACTATATTGGTAGGTACATTGCTATTAACTTAATTATGGTACTTCTAAGCTGGTCTTTGCTAAAAAACGTCCTCAATCTGACTGAGGCATGTGGCTCTCGATTCATGGTTTGCCGACCACTGGGGTAGGCAATTATTCAATGGGGAGTAGGTCCATAGGGGGATGTCAGGAAGTCCCTGTGATTGACGTGAACTCTTCTCATTCTGAGACTCAGGCAACTGCAGGTCATCTCCAGGACTGACTACTCGGTCATTGGGTCCCCAGACCTAGAAAAAGTTCCTGTCATGCTATCCACATGGCTCTGGATAAGTCAGCTTGCTCACTTCGGTGGGCAAAGTTCTTCCCAACTCTGCCATTTGTAGTAATAGTGTGACAGCAAATTTGATAGAAATTATGTTGGTGGTTACTTCAATCACGGTAAGGGTTAAAGAAGATAATATACACTGATTGGCCAGATTATTATGATCTCTGAACACATAATAATCTGGCCACTCAGTGTACTCATGTATAAGGGAAAGCTTGCAAGTCTTGATATGTCAAGGGACCAGGAGATAGTGGCCCCAGCCTCTGGCTAGTAAGTGTTCTGCTTCTTTACAACTACCCACAATGCAGTTCTTATACATGGAAAAACCTTATTTTAAAATCCCAACTCTGTGGCCAGTCTACACTGAGTGGCCAGATTATTATGCGTTCAGAGATCATAATAATCTGGCCACTCTGTGTATGTAAAGTAGTGGCATAAGGTGGCTCATGGTGGGGACTGGGTTAAAATATATTTTATTGATTTTTTACAGAGCTGAAACATCTATCGGCTGCCTCCTGCACACTCCCCACTGGGTATGTGCCCCCAACCAAGGTACATGTCCTTGCCTGGAATTGAACCTGGGATCCTTGAGTCTGCAGGCCGATGCTCTATCCACTGAGCCAAACTAGTTAGGGTTATTCTTTTTATTATTATTATTATTATTATTATTATCAGAAGGCCAATTTGGAAAACCAAAGAAGATAAGTTTATGACACCGGAGCTAGAAAAGTGGCTACGGAGAGAGTCTTGCTTGGGTAGGAATCCCACTCTTGGCAGTCAAAGCCGTAACACTGTCCCACATTTCTCTCTCAGACTGCCTCTTCTTATCAAGAGGGCAGGGAATGAATGTATTCCTTTTTCTCTCTCTCATTTCCATGCCTCCCACTGCCGAGTATAATTGAGTCAGAGCATCATCCCACATGGGAAAAGTCCCTAAATGCTTTAGCAAGCCCCGTGGTTCCTCATTTACTATCATGGTTGGGGGTGAGGCTCTTAGACTTACCGACTGCTAAATTACAGAGCTGCTGGGCCCAGGAAGAAAAGGGGTGATTTTTCTTTCACAGGCCTTTATACAAGTTCTTTATTCAGATACATTTTTATCGAGCTGACCCTTTTAGCTGAATTCTACAGTGTGGCTTAGCAAGGAGTCCTACGCGGCACTGGCTGGAAGAAATTTGGAACATCGATCTGACCTCCCCGCCTGATACACACAGGCCTCCCACTCTGACCCCTCCAAACTCCTCTGAAATTGTGCACCCTTTGGCTCCCTGGAGGGACTTGTTGCTAGGAAACAAATGTAGAATGCTCTCACCTAAGAAAAGTTTTCGCTACTGCCTCCGATAGTGGGTTCTTCTGTAGCCATGAAAATATTAACAAAGAAAACAATCTGTTATCCATCCACAGATTCCCTGGACAAGAGCTCTTCACTGTGGCAAGTTTCACCGCACCGTCACTGATTATTTTGAACATTACTCAGTGCTGCCCTTGAGACTGCATTATGAAGCTAAATGCGGTGGTACCGATTTTTCTTGGGGTACAAAATAAATAAAGCCATTACTGACAATGGGGTGGTGAGGTCTCACAGACTATAGAGGGACATAAAAACTCACCTTCGCTCTTCTAGGCTGATTTCTACATTAGAAAAAGAAAAGCCTGAATTCTTAAAGGAGAAAGAGGGTCCTTAAACTTACTAACTCATTTGCTAAGTGTTTATTGAGAGCCTGGTATGTGGAGGACACTGAGCTAGATCTGAATAATACATTCATTCCCTGCCCTTGTGATAATGTCTGTCTGCTTGGAGAGACCAGTAGACAATTTGGAGGGAGCATATAATTTACTTACTTAAGATTTTTTAAATTAATTTTTAGAGGGGAAGGAAGGAAGAAAGGAAGAAAGAAAGGAAAGAAGGAAGGAAGAAGACCGACGCTATATCCACTGAGCCAAACTGGTTAAGGCAACAGTTAAACTTTTAAATTAAATATATAATTTTTATTACAGAAACTTTGGAAAATACAAAAGAGCATGAAAATGAAAAGAAAAGAAAAAGAGCTCACAAGCTCACAGATTTATTTTGAAGCATATAAAGAAGTGAATGTTGCCCGGCCAGTGTGGCTCAGTTGTTGAGCACTGACCTATGAACCAGGAGGTCATAGTTCAATTCCCCATTCAGGACATATGCCTGGCTTGTAGGCCCAATCCCCACTGGAGAGAATGCAGGAGGCAGCTGATCAAGGATTCTCTAATCATTGATGTTTCTATCTCTCTCTCCCTCTCCTTTCCTCTCTGAAATCAATAAAAATACATTAAAAGAAAAAAAGAAAAAAAAAGAAGTGAACATCTTACCCAACACTCCAGCCCCGTTTTCTGGAGATAATTATAATCGATAGTGTGTGAAGATAACATTCTAAATTGTTGTTTATGCTTATTTAAACACACATACATGCATCCACTTTTGTACATATTCATATATTATTATATTTTTTTCAAAAAACAAGGTTATGCTATATGGTTTTCTACAACATGGAAATTATTCTCTTGATATTTCATGGCCATGCATTCTAAAATTGTTATTTTTGGATCTCCTCTTTCTTTAATGGCTAACTAGAATCCATTCGTGGACATGACCTAATGTATTGAATCCAGCCATACTGATGAACATTTAGGTCGCTTGTGAATTTTTTGCTATTCAACAAGTTTGCAGAAAGCATTTTGAACATTTATTTTTGGACTCACGCTCTTACACGGTAGGGTAGTTCTTAGAATGCCGAGTACTTTATAATAGGGTACATTCAGCTCACTACTAGATGGAGAGTCCAAATTACTCTTCAAGTAGGTCAAGCTCATTTATCCTCTAACAATAGGATGCATGCTCCACATCCATTTTTCGCTTCGCACTCATAATTTCTATTTCTTTGAGATTTTCCTCTTTATGGCATAATTCTCCCATCTGAGCAGCAAGACACTTAATTCCAAGAACTCTTTCTTTTCCTCGGATTTCTCCTTTGTAATAAGTTCTCTGGTCTCCCTAGGAATTTACATTCTTTTCTTCTAGCATTCTTTTTATTTCTTCCCTTAAGGGTACTCGCAAGAGTCATCTGTTCTGATTATGTTGTTGTTTCCTCCTTCAGTCTGCCGACTCCCCTGTAATGCTTTGTGCATTTTCTCTTCGCCACTGTTACTTGTCTGCACACACCCAGATGTCCTGACTCACAGGAGAGGAGGGGTCCTCAGCTCACATGCAGGTAGGCTGTTGGGGTCTCCTAAGTAATAGTGGGTCTGCAAGAGGTGAACGGTAAAGGGAGGCTCTTTCCTTGGTGAATGGGCTAATAGGCTCGGACCCTTCAACAGAGTGGTCTGAGGGAGGCCTCCAAGTTCTCCGGATCCTCCTAGCAAATGCAGAGTGTAAGCTATCTCCTCTGGACAGATGGACATATTCATTAGTTATGGCCTTCTCAAAAGCCAAACACAAAGCAACAGCAACGAGTCCAAAAAATGACTCCCAAATCAACAAAGAAATGTCCATACTGACCCCCAGCTAACATGCCAGAGCAAGCACAGACTCTAGTCTTTAGGTCGAGGACACTAAGAAACCCTCAGAAGTGTGGCTCCCCCAGAAAGCATGCCGAGAATATTATTCATTGTTTTCTGCATTTCATATGGGGATATGTTGGCAAAATAATTTTATTGTACACAATATTCAAATAATATGTCATTTATTAATAGCAAATAAAGTCGATGGTATTCTTTTGGCCAATAATGCATTATCAAGTACCTATCATATTTAAAA